TTATTTTCTCAAATTGATGCACACGTGTAATTCCTGGTAACTTTAACCTAGGAACTGTGTATTCAGTTTAGGGAGCTGTAAGAGACTTTTTCACACCCAAAGCAAGATGGAGGTTGCCGTATTCATTCGAGCGTGAAATCCTGGCTGAGAGATTAAGCCTCTTACACAGATCCCAGTGCTGTTAAAAGCCAGCGAGGACTGTGTAAGCCACATCTCTGACTGGAGGAGAGGTTCCTTTTGTTAGTTGTTCAAAATTAGGAATGTAAACAGCTCTCACGGAGTAATTAGTCTGTGTTTGAATTGGGAGAAGGTGATAAAAATAATGACATGACGTTTCTCCTAGCATTGTCATATGGCTGTATTTTACAGCCTAACAGAGCCATGCCTGCTCTGCTGGGTGGATGAGGGCAAAGATTTCAAAGGTGGCAAATTTGGGTTGTAGAGCAGAAGACTCACTGGAGGAAAAGTCCCATTGCAGGAAATCACTAACAGCTCTTTGAAAAAATCCTCTTGCTTGCAAAAGGAATGGCATTTTTTGAAGTTTCATGGGGAAAACTCTGCAGTCTGTTGTAATTCCACAATGTGCGCAAACGTCCTCTACAAACCTAGGTTCACTGCCGGCAGAAATTCATGGGTATGGTGGTGTGAGAGTCCTCACCATTCGCGCTGGTTTTTGCCCATGCCTAACTTCTAAACGGTTGCTTTAGCGAAGCCGTGGCTGCACGATCCCCACATAATCCGTTGCTGCCATCTTTGACAGTGACTCAAGTAAAGCTGTTTCTAGCCATACGCAAGGCTGTTTGCCCCTGTCAGTATCTTGCTAAACAGATTTCTGTGGAAATTAAATAAATAAAATCTCCACCACTGGTGCTAATTGGTGCCTTTGGCAGCCTGAGCAGGGGCCTGTGAATTGAATGTGTCATGGAGAATTGAATGTGTCAACTCTCTCCCAATGGCTGGGACCTTGAGGTCTTTTTCTGGCACTAAATTTCCTTTGAAAAAAAGAAAAAGGAAAAAAAAAATGAGAGTGAAAACAAGCTGAAATAAGAGATCTTTTCCCCTTTTTTTAATGAGGTGTTGAAGTTGAGCATTGTAGTGTACACACTGCAGCGTTTTCTTGTCAGATGCTTTGAGAAGTGGGGCTGGTTTCTGCCTTTGTTTCTCAGGCATCCCATTTGTTGCTATTAGATGCTGTGCAGCACGGGGTGGCAGGTTTTATTCAGTCTGTTCAAGCATCTGGCAGGATAGCCATGAAGTTGTTGCCGATGTCCTTAAGGGACTGTAGGGATCCGCATGATTCATTCAGTATTTTTTCTAGGTACAAAAAAGAAATGTCTTACACTGTAGTAAATACGGTTCCAAGTAGAGCATAACAAGCTTATCAAAACGCAGGAGATTTGCTGCTTTAGAGGCACTGACTGGAAGCACAAGCTCTTGTTCCTTTGGTTGAGAAGATACTAACCCACATGGAGTTAAACTGGGCTGTATTTCAGGCTGTTGAGGATCAGCAGAACCATGTCCACAAGCCAATTCACCTTTTATGTTGTCCTGACTAAGAGAGGAGAAGGTTATCACTATTAGGCTGTGAGTTATTTGGATGTCAGAAAAGTTTAGTCATGGATCAAGCTACTGTCAATTTTTTTTGTTGATGAGGCCAAGATTATGTGTACAGGGGTCTGGAGAGAAGAGGGTTGTTTTTTTATTATTTTTCTCTTAGTATGAAACATACTTTTTCTTTCCTAGCAGTGTCACTTATTTGTCTTTGCAATATTACGTTTTCTTAGGGAAAATGGAGGAAGGAAGGCTGTCTCCTAGTTGTCTTTCAGCAGGGGCCAGCTACTAGTCCTAAAGCACAGATTAGCCCTGTTCTCTTACACAGGTGTCTTCTCTTCCAATATTTCTGCAGAAATTACTGAATTTGGTACTTTCTCCTACGGGATATAGTACTGAGCCAAAGGGATTTTACAGTGGAGGCATCTTCAAAGGTGACCCATTGGAGCTGCAGCCATTTGCGTAACTTGGTAGCAAGCACCTTTGGAAAGTCCATAGGCTGAGCTGTAGCATTTCCTTTGGGACCATGTGCACTTTTTTCTTTTCTGTTCTTCTGTGTTTTCTTATTTTCTTTTTTTTAGTCCAGCCCTGACCTCTTTAGCAGATAGCTTCACTAGGCGGTGTCCACATCTGGTGCCCATGCTCTCCTCAAACCACAGCAAACCTTCTTGTTTTGTTGTTTAAGAAGATATGAGCAGAATGAGTCCAGAGAAATATTTTATCCATATGCATTTTCAGATGTGTTGGTCTATGTGCTTAGATGTCTCCATTTTTGTCAGGGTCCAATGACCTGCCTGAAACATCTGCACAATTCCCATTATACTACTGTTTTCTCCCAGTACCTCATTCACAGAGACATTTTTCTCTCCTGTGCTATTACTTCCAAAAAATTACTAGTTAAAGGGTATTTCACAGCATATTCATCTTTCAAGTGCAGTTCTTTCAAGTAGTGCCAAGAATGATAAACCAATAGATTTCGAACTTCTCCTTATCAGAATAAGACCACAGAGTTGAAATCTAAAATGAAACCCTTCGGATCCATGGTAAAGGACATTGCAATTGCAAAGCTGTGAATACTGCTTGATATTTCCCCCTCTGAATAACCTCTCCTGGTTAAAAAGCTTTATATTAAAAAGCTAATAAACCAAATGAAGAAATAATAGAAGATAGACTTTGGAGTTGGCTGGCAATGTTTTCTCGAAGTCATGCTATTAAATGTCACAAGCTTGGATTAGTTTCCCATTTTCATTCCAGAGTAAAATAATTTAAATTTGCAGAATTTTTGAGTGTAATAGAAGATTTAGAAACACTCAGAGGAAGCACAAACAGGCTGTGGCTGTCTGTAATAATCATCCCTGCTGAACAGTGTTCAGCTCCCTGAAGTAATTATTAAACTGTCTCTATCATAAACTGCGAAATTTTAAGGAACCTGTTGGCTCTACAAAAAATATTTCTCCCATCTGTGTTAAGTCTGCATTACCTGCCTGTCTGTGTATTGCATTGCCTGCAAGTGCTTTTCTGCATTAGGGATAAACTCGCTGTATTCCAGCTGGGAATACGTGATTACCTTTGCTTGTTATAAACGTAATGGTTGTTGCTGGCCCGGCTGCAAAGCCGGAGGGAGTGCTCACAGTGCGATGCACAGCTTGAGCCAAGCGAGAGGCAGCGCAGGAGGCGTTCTGGATTCAGCTCTTCCTTCCACGGTGTGGTATGGGCCACCTCCACCTGGTTACTTAAAATGTTTGCTAGCTGTGTTCTCCTGGGCACACTTTCTCCTAGGTCTCCTTTGATGCTAGAGGGACGCTGCAAGGTAGCAGGCGGGATGTGGTGTTTCACCTTGGTCAACGTTAGGGAGCTGATGCAAAAAACATCTTTGCTCACTGCTCAAAGGACAGATTATTTCATCTGTGTCATGCTCTGAGGGAACACCAAGGCTCGAGAGCTGTGGTTTCTTCTATTTACTGTCTAGGTTTGACATTTCTCTGGAGCTGAAACAAATCTCTTTCTGTGATTAAGAGAATAGGATTGTTTTCTGATTAATCATTAAAGTCTTGTTTGATACAGAGTAAGTTTTTACTTCACTAGCCACTTCTGCCTCCCAACCGCATTACCCAGCACATTTTCCCTCTCCCCATAGCAGCTGGGTCACAGAGCACCTCATCTGCAGCCACAGAACTCTACAGTTTTGGGGTCTCTTCTTAATGTGACTTGGCTCCAAAGCAGGGTCTGCCCATGACCATGGGACAAGGGCTGCATTCAGCCCCACCGTATTTCACTTATGGACAGAGTAGCAACAGATTATCCTCTAAGGGTGTTCCTACATTACTGATTTACTCTGATGGGTGGAAGCTCTTTAAGTGTGAATTTTCCTTGTGTCTATACCTGCGATCTTGTGTTAAGCACTTAAGTGTGCAAGCGTTGCTCTCAAAATGATTTCCCTCTCACTGGAAGAAAGTTGAAGTCACAAGCTGCGATATTGTGTTGAGCATCCCACCTGCAACATGGATGCAAGGTCCTTCCACAGTAACCTCATTGCATGTGCCCTGTGCATGCCTAGGAGCAGACGTCATGGCTGGGGGATGTTTCGGATTGCAGCAAGTCAAATCCTGGCCCTTGTTTCTTTGTCACACACCTGTGATATTATAGCTCTTCCCTGAGGATCTACCTGTGAGCCCTGACTTCACCCTGGGGGTGGTGTTAAGCTGACTGGGTTGTGTGCGCTGTGGAAGAGTTACTTTAAATATTTGAGGTGGAGAAAGTGTCAACAACCTGTGTTTGGTCCCACAGACCACCATGCTGCCAAAGAGAAAACGACAGGATTAAGGCAACTAAAACAGTCTGGTTTACAGAAGGTTAGACAGATACAGGGTGAGCAGAGCCTTACTTAGTGCTGTCAGCCATCAGCAGCCTCCACTATCCCACCAGTGGAAAATTCTCCTGTATCTTATTTTTCATTCTTGCAACTGAGATGAGTGTCCTACCTCCAGTCCTACCTGTTTTCAAATAGGGGGGAACAAATCTTAGCTCTTGTATCCAAGGCCCTTTAAATAAGTTCCTGCTTTTACCTGATTTTCTGCCTGGGATGCAACAATGAACTCCTGCTGCTTGAGCTTGCCATGTTGCTTATATTCAATGTGTAATGGGAGCCTTCAGAAAAATATAACCTTATTTACACTGTACAGAGCCAATTGGATTTTGGTTAACTTAATTTCTAAGTGATTACAGTTCACTAACAATGTAGGTGTGCTATAGATGCAATGCACAGGGGGTGACTTTTTATTTTAAACCATACAAGCTTTCTTTTATTCATGTCATTCAGGCAGCCTCATGATAATTCACATTTCCAGCTTTCCTGATGTGTTGTTCAACCACTGTTTTTTCTCCCTCCCTATTGTACTCTCACAAATCATACTCACTAATTTCTGAAAGCTTTTCATTTCTCTCTATAGGTTGTTGTTTCGTAACATTTTATACAAGAAAAGCTGCTCTTGAGGCACAGAATGCACTGCACAATATTAAAACTTTACCTGGGGTGAGTACATTTACTTTTTGATCCTCATTATTTTATTGCCAGAAAAATAGCCCTTTTACTCAAGATGCTGCTTGGTGCCCCAAATGACCTTGATCTCTTCAAGAGAGGGTGGCTAACCTGATGGTCTGTTCTGTAATGGTGCCAGTCCTGTAGCAATGGCATCATCTCAAAAGGCAGTTTCTCTACTATGGAAAGTCCCTTGGCTGGAAACAGTGCTGATTCCTGCTGACTAGAGACAGTTACTGAAGCACAATGTAGATTCAATTTTTTTTTTTATTTAAGGGGGAGGAAGGGGGAAAAAACATATGGCAGAAAAGCACTGCACCACTGGGGATTCTAGTTTGAAAAGGGAGAGAAGAGGAAAAGACAAAATACAGCCAACTTTACTAAATGCAGCCTTTATCCACATGGTTTCTAAACAACCTGACTGCCTCAGTGTGGTGCCTGCACATCAGGGAACCGTAAGCATGGTACCACGTAGCTGCTTGCACAGTGTCATCCCGTTCCCTGCCACCACCTCTCCTCAGCAACCTGTTCTCACTGATACATCACAACAGTGGTTGGAACAGTTGTGGTTGTGTTGTACAAACTGTAGCTTGCGTTATCCTATGGTAGTTGGGATTTAAGTTACAGGGCTAGAGACAAGTATATCACTGATAATTGCATGACTTAACTCTGACATCTTGTTCCAATGTTTTCATTTCTTCTGATGAATGTAGCCAAATCCTTTGGGGATAGGAAAGGAAAAATATAAACAATGGAAGTATATTCCCTCTTGATGTAGGGAAATGTTCAAGTATATAGTTGGAGTGTATGGTTACAGACACAAAAATAAACAAATGATTACAACACTGTATAAATAAATAGAACATTGACTGGACTGACAGTTATATGGCTAATACCTCCTTTAGTTCCTACATGCTGTGTGTGAAATTGGACACTGTGTGTTTGAAAAATTCACATCTGGCCAGCTCACTTTATGCAACTCCTGTTGGGAAAGCGACCTCATCTGTCATGGAAATGACCAACATATAGAAGTATGGTGGATAGTTATCTGTGAGTCCTGCTGATTCACCAAAATAAAATGGGATTCCTCTGTCATTTGCAAGTGAAAATGCTGGAAGAGGTAACAGGAAATCTGCAGATGTTGTCCAGCTACAGGAAAATAAAAGAAAAATTGTAGCACTTCAGATTCAAGTGATATTTTCCAGCAAATGGTCCTTTCAAGGGATGATGTCAAGACCTTACAAGCCTCCCGGTGGCAGGCTTGGTGTTTGAGGGTGTAGAGGAAGGATGTGCCACCCTCAGAGAGAAAGGAAGGCTCTGAGGAATGATTCCTTTTAAGACCCCTTCAAAGCTCAGGTTGAACCTCAGCATCCTCTGGCTCTGCAACCCAGGTTGTTGGTTCACATCCCCACTACCAGAAGATGCTGAGTACCCTGGATAAGTGCTCAGTGCAGCTAATGTTGCACTTAACCCAACTCACTGTGTAATTGCTCTCTGACATGCTTTGAGTCAAATGGCTGTGCTGACTGGCTGGGCAGGATGGGCATCGCCACAGAGGTGGTTCCAAGCTTCTGAAGCGGTACCCTGCCCAGCCAGCATCCCTGGGTCCAGGCAAAGCATGGGACCCTTATCCTGAAATTCTACCACAAGATCTATACATCACTCCCCTTAGAAGCAAAGAGGGTCCTTTTGTTTGCTCCTCTGTTCTTCCTTGAGCCCCACGAGCTGGCTGCCGTGTTTTGAGAGATCTTAGTTATCCCAGCGGGTGACTCGGAGGGGCAGACTCCTTCCCTGACCTCCCCATGTACAGGTGGCAAAGCTGGCTCAGCTCTGCATCACATCTTACTTGAGCAAGGCATCATTTTCTCCTCTGCTTTTGTACAGCTAACAAGCATGTAGCAGTTAAAGAGACTAGTGTACCTTTTGATCTTTTTTTTTAAATAAAGCTCAGAAATATAATATTTTTTTTTCTAATGTTATCTCTAGCTCTTTGTCATTTAAAACTTTTCAAGCTGTGTTTTTCTGTCCTGACTGTGAGGTTACAAACTTTCATTTTAAGGAAATGTGAAAATTACATTCCCATGACTCTGGGGGCTGGGCATTAAAAGTATTCCTGATACTGCCAGAGTTGTTAAGATTTTACTTTGAGATAAGTTGTTATACCTACTTCTTAAAGGGACACATCTGAAAAAGAAAAGTGACTCGAATACAGATCCATTACTTCTCTTTGAGAACAATTCAGCATACATTATATAACAGATTCTAAGACTATATTTTGCATGTGTTGTATGCTGAGATTCAGCATATAAAGTGATTCTGTTATGCTGCATCTGTGTATTCTCAAAACAACTTCATTTGAGCACACTTTAAGGTTATGGCATGCAGGTTGAAAACACTTCATGTTTGCAGGATTCTCCTTACATGAATTTTAACAATTTCCAGTTGTTAGCTCTTGCCTCTTAAGTAGCTTTCACCAAACAAGCAGGAATAGGTAGTGGATATGTCCATGTGCGAAACAGTCTCAGAACAAATGGAAGCAATCTTCTGGCAGAGTTACAACAAGGGATGAATTTGGATCAGGTTCATTTGGGCATCAAGTGTCAGCTTGCTTCCAGTAAACGAGATATGGTACGTAGGAGGTTCAGTAATAAGATGTCTCCTGGAAACAAAAGAATCTGTGCCTTCCACTTTTACTGTAATGCCACCACACGTCAGATAAAAGGCATCCTTAAATAGCCCAGGAAGAAAATCCGAGGCAAAGGCAGGTGATTTATTAGTGTGAGGTGAGGAATGATGGCAGCTGCAGGAGCAGGGCCCTGCAGGGATGCTGCAGCAGTTGGAACTCGCCGGCGTTTTACCTGCACGCAGGTGTAACCAGCACTGCTGCAGAAGCGTGGAGGGGAGTACCTCGATGTTCATTAAAAGATAGAGACCAGATTATTTCTGGGTTTAGTCTCCTCATTTCTTAAATGCAGACCTGCTTCATGTGGCTCTGCAAGCAGGCTGTGGATCAGCACTGGTAAAGCCAAAAAAAATGGGTTTTTTAGCATGAAATTTATCCCCCTTCCAAGACTGCATGCTCAATTTAATGTAGGTAGATATTTGAGCAAAACTGCAGTGTTCTGTTTCTATATCTACTTTTTTCATGGACCTCATCCTTAACAGAGACATGAAAACGAGAGCGCTTTATCTGCTACTTTGAGCTGCACCCTTTTAGTGGACATGAAGAAAATAAGACCAGACATAAATGATTAATGCAGAATCTTGGAAGAAAATATTGCAGGGTGCCTTGCTGTTTGATTACAAGCCTTGGAATTAGTCAACATTTCCATAATTCTAAACCAATATACACCTGTTTTCCCACTGTGATGTGAAGGCACAACTTAATTTAACAGAAACCCTGCTGTGCTAAATCTCTCATTAAATACCAAGCTACTTCTGTAATTTAAAGTTGCAGCACCACTATTTTAACTGAATTGCCTTTGTATTATAAAATTAATAAGAAGTTAATGATGCACTTTGCTGTATTCTCTCAGATTTTTTTTTCACAGCAACAACAAAAAAGAAAGATAAAGAAGAAAAACATGTCATCAGCTGACATCTCAAGGCTTTTCTCTTTTTAATAATTTTCCTGAGGATAAAACTCATTTAAAAGATTTTTAAAAATTTTTTTTAAATTTTCAGCATAAGTAGGATCAAACATCTTCATTTTCCTCAAGTTTAGTATAATCTCTCTGTTAGTCATAATATTCCTTGTCATATAATGTAGCTTTTATCTTTCCTCCAAAATGTATTTAGATATCACTTGTTATGGTAGGATTGCTACTAGGCAGAGAAGATACACAGTATTTGAAAAATACAGGCGTATTGATATATATGATACATATCAATGAAATGGGGACAGTTCTTTTCTGTTGACTTGGTGCTGGCATCATTAGTAGCTTTTATGTCTTGTAAATTGTCGTGGTTTAACCCGGCAGGCAGCTAAACACCACGCAACCATTCACTTACTCCCCTCCCAGCAGTAGCATGGGGGAGAGAGTCAGAAATACAAGAAAGTAAAATTTGTGCATTGATATAAAGCCAGTTTAATAGGACAGAAAAGGAAGGGAAAATAATGATGATGATGGTAATAATAATAATAACAACAACAACAACAATAATGATAAAATAATTAGAATATACAAAACAAGTGGTGCACAATGAAATTGCTCACTATTTGCTGACTGATGCCCAGCCAGTTCCCAAGGAGCAGCCCCTGGCCAGCTTTCCCTCCAGCTTTATATGCTGAGCATCATGCCATATGGTATGGAATATGCCTTCGGCCAGTGGGAGTCAGCTCTCCCAGCTGTGTCCCCCCAAGTTTCTTGTACCCCCCCCAGCCTCCTGGCTGGTGGGGTGGTCTGGGAAAATGAATAGTCCTTGACTTAGTGTAAGCACTGCTCAGCAACAACTAAAACATCGTTGTGTTATCAACATTATTCTCATCCAAAATCCAAAACACAGCATTATACCAGCTACTAGGAAGAAAAGTAACTCAATCCCAGCTGAAACCAGGACATAAATGAACAACATTAGTTTCCAGATGTGTCTTTTTAAATAATCATTCAAGTGCATAGCTCATATCCTAGCTCATAGGGATGCGGTTTGTATTATTCAATTTACAGTCAGGTTTTCTTGGACCATTGGTCTGGATTTTGTTTTAAAAGGCAGAAGGGAGAAAAGGGAACACCTCATCTTGAATGTAACAGTGATCTTAGAAATGTGCTTCTTTGGAATGAGATGTAGAACTGAAGCCTTAACTAGTCTCATCTTCATTAAGAATCTCATGGCTTTGTTAGAGGTGTTTAAACTCTATTCCCTAAACAAAATAATCCAATAAATTCCTCTCATCTAAATTTATTCTGTAACTTCAGTTGGATGTAATAATCTTAGTTTCTCCTGTACTCTAATTTGCTCCTTAGTGAAAATTGTCTTCTGTATGGAAAGCAAAC